AAAGTAATGTTCGCAATCTAAGTTATACGAAAAGAAATGTGGGCGAAAAATGTCTTAAAATTAAAAAAATATAAAATTGCTATAAAAACAACTGATAAATAATATATATTTAAAAACATTTATACACTAATTAACTTAAACTTAGACACTAAGTTCAATTCGCCTAGAACTGGCTATCGGAGAAAATACAGCAACTACCGATGATTAATTATTATTAGTTTATTAAAATAAGAAATATACTATTAGTTCATTAAAAATATATTTATAGTTTATTGAATATATATATATAGAATGCATGTAGAAAGTGAGATATTTGGGATATACTTAGTGCCTAAGCAAGGATTTACTACTAGAAATAAATACAAAACTGACTGAGGTTATATACTTAGTCTTTCTGCAACGAAAACAAAATGTTTCAAGCAGTCTTTTTATCGTTTAAAAAATACTTTGAATATTTAAAGCTAAGAATTTCACTTATTCGACTGAAAACTTCACCTCAAGAACCCTTTCTGATAGAGTAATTGTCATTCAGTAATTACAAATAATTAAGCGATTTAATGAAGTTCACAGACTCACAAATATAGCTCTAATCCTTTAACTAACATGCCTTAATCTTAAAACATGTCAACAATTTCCGTCATTTATTAAAAAAATTAGCATATTAAAGTCTTCCACGTTATTTGATGACTTTTGTTTCCATTATTGCAAAAAAAAATTTAAATAAATTAAGTAAATAAAATGGCAAAAAAATGCATGTCTGCACATCTTGTAATATTTCTGCACACATAAAATCTGCATATCTGCACATGTGCAATCCGCATATCTGCACATATTGTAATATTCCTGCACATGTGCAATCCGCATATCTGCACATCTCGTTATATTTCTGCACATGTGCAATCCGCATATCTGCACATGTAATATTTCTGCACATATTTAGAAATTTTTTTTTTACATATATGCACTTCTTATTCACATTACAAATATGTTAGATTAGAAGTGAGATATTAGAAGCAAACATTTTCACTTGGAAAAAGTTAGATTCTGCAAAAAAGTTATCTTGCAAACAAATATATAGCATTTACAAATGCTAAATTAACACATTTTAAATAAACTATCAGTCTTATGAGAACTGATGGCTTCACTAGTAAGCTGTTTCTTATATAAGTTTCATACTATGATTATTATCATTATTGTTATTATTATGATTATCATCATTATTGATATTATTATTACTGATTACTCCTATATTCTTAATTACTCCTATATTCTTTTACTTCTTGAATATTTGTTACTTCATATTTTTAAATTCCAATTAGGATTGTCACGTTTAAAGTTTTTTTTCCTATCACAGAAAACTGGCGATACTTAACTTCTGACAAATATTAAACTTAATAAAAACGAAGTAAATCGAACTGTCATATGACAGAACTACATGAAAAAATATTTGTTGATATTAAAAAATATATACAATACTATTATTATTATCATTGTCAATATAATAGTACTGTATATATTTTTAATACCAAAAAATATAATTACAAACAGCACAAACAAGTGTGCGTACTGTAAAAGTAACAACAACAAACCGATATCTGTATAGAAGTCTCAGCCTGATTCTGATGCAATATGTGCAAAACTCGACGATTTGCAATACTGCTAGCCATAAATACAGACCGCGCAACATTACTACAATGGCTAAGCCAAGTTTGTTGCCGAGAACAGTAACTCTCGATACTGTCATCCAGTTCACTACGCAGTTCTTGTAAACGCCTTTGAATATCAGCCATTATAACTGCAAATTTATTCATATTTTTTATCTACAGTAAATGATCACAATAATATTCCGCGGAAAGTTGATTCATACCGTAAACCATACTGAATATACACATAAATATATTCAAGTACAAACCAATACAGTTAAAAGATGAAAAATATGAGGTGAAATGTACCAAAAAAACTACCATTGGTACGGAAGAAATGATCAAATGAAGGTGGGTGTATTGGAAAAAGATATATTATGCACCAAACTGTAATAGCAATCATTCGTAGAAACTGAATAACACGAGAATACAGCAAATGGATTTGAATTTACTTGGCAACATAAATTCTGATCCTTCTCATAAGACAAGCATCTCTCTCTGATTTTCTGATCAAATAAATGCATATTATATATTTGAAATTCTGTCAAATATTTAAATTAAATTAATAAATAAATTTTGCAATGCATAAAATTTGAAGTGAATACAATAAAAAATACTAAAATATATAAAAACTAATTCATAATTATAAATAAAAAATACTATTTTTAAGTCACATATTAGTTTCATATGTAAAAACAAGCAATTGTTATTCAATTTTAAAATTGAATTTGCAAAAAACTTCATTTACATTAAAAATACATATGAATCATATATCAAACAGTGATTGATCTTAAAAAATACTGCAATATTTTTCGATATTTCTCTAAAAAATTTTATTACAGTGCAGTTGAAAAGCATATTCTTCCACCACTTCATCATATTAATAATAAAACTAATATTATTAATAAGCTATTATTAATAATAATAATTAATAAATAAATAAATATGTATATGTAAATTTTAAACAAAATACTTTTGCAATAAATTATTCCGTAACTTTGTGCATGTTTTGTTTAAATTTTAATGATTATAAAAGAAATTTCAATAAAATAATTTTTTTTGAAATGACTTAAAGCTATATCGTAATGTGTAAATGACTGGAGAGGTAATGTGTAGTAATGCACCACCAAATAATGGTGGTGAGGTAGCGAATTTGCATTTTAAATAATGGTAATTGCTTGGGATAGAATAGATACAAATACAACCATCACCACCACATGAATTATTA